TAATTTTAATTTCTCAAATACATATAGGCTACCTAAGCGAGAGAAAAGCTTCCCATCTTATACAGGGTGGTCAACATTTATCTAATACCAATTTTAAATGGCACGTGCAAAATTCAATTCGGTTGTCAAAGTTATTTCCATAAAGTTCTTGACCCGTGTTTTATAAGAATGGAATTTCCATTTTCCATTTCACTAACGTTTGTGTTTTCGGATATCTGATTTTGATTAATATTTGTATTCTCTATAACTGGAACCAACTACCAACCGTATAAACTTTGATGTAATTCTACAAGGATAAAAACGCGGATAAAAATCATGTCAATACGCTCTTCCTTTGGGTAAATTGTCATTTATGCAACAATAGAACTAGAATCAAGGTATGGTGATCTAAAGTTGTCATCAGATTAGGATAAATTTTAGACTAATCTGGTACAAGCTAGAAAATTCGTTATAATTATGTATACTAATTGTTACACTCTACTAAATTCCGATTGTTTAAATACTTCATGTGTATTTACGAAATTAAAATTATTAAGATTTAGGTATCAAAATATTTTAACGCACGCTTATTATGATGTAGAATCCAAAAATGCTCTAATATACAAACGTACTACTTTGTTACTTTTAACACGTTTGGGACAACCTGTATTCGTATTTAAGTAACTTTAAAAAGTACCCATAATGACTTCAGAAATAAAACTTTATAAATATTAGAACATGCATAAATTATCACTAGATTAAACCTTACTTTGATAATTATCATTTTGATATGCATATATGAAGATTGTGAACAACGTGGCTCGTCCATTTTAATGTTTTTCTATTTACTATAATTAGGTTCGATAGCCTAGCACTGAGGTCATAGAATACCATTGTGCTCCCTATTTCCCTATACTCAAAGTTCTGGTTAGTAGGAATGTGGATCTTTAGAATCTCATTTACCTGTTCGCACGGGATGTTAACCTAATGTGAGTATTTTTGCACGGTTCTCATTCAATTAATGTTATCCTTACGAACCTACCTTCTTTGTCATAGTGGAAAGCAGCGTTCTTCTGAAGGCATTTTAAAGTTACATTGATGCAATTTTATTTTCTTGTTATCGTCCTCTCATGTTAGACGAGAATTTAAGTAAACTGATTATTTAAAAATTTTAGGCAACCAGGGATCGGATTATTAGAAATTAATTATTTAAATGAGATGAAAATCAGTTTGTCTTCAACAATGTTGGTAAGTAATTAATGAAAGTATAAGTAATAATACCAATATCTGGAAACGAATAAGTAAGTCAAAACATAGTAATGTCAGCTATGATCTAAACTGAAGTCCTTTGACGGTATTGTAAAAAAATATCATTTGGCACCTTAATAAATTAGTATTTTATTTGGTGCATTCGGAACGGATATACAAAATTTCACTTTTTGGGTGCGAAGTATTTTTATTAATATTTTAGGCAATAATAGGCACCCATTAAAGTATGCAATGCTTTTAGAAAACTTGCATTTATTGTTTCTTCAGATTTTTTTTTCACTTATGCCGAAGTCTTATTCGTAGCATGCAGCCTAGGAAAAACCCTTTCAAATAACTCTTTGGAGTTATCTACATCCATTTGCGAAAATATTTAAACACCTCTCAATAACATTCCATTTCGGAAATAGAGCAATTAACAAAAAAAAATTGAACTTCTCTCGGCTGTGAAACACTAAACTTATTCTATCTATAGTTAATATAAAGAAAATTTCCGATATACTTGTTTTTTTTTTATTTCTGGGAACTTCCGTTTCCCCGATACAGTAGCCATTAGTGACTACCTACCCATGTCTTGGCAATCTCTGATATTCTTCCAGTTTTGATTTGAATGTTGTTTAACAGTTGAGTGACTTTCAAAGATAATTATGTAGGTGCATTATACACTATATAAAAATGAATGGTGAGGTTAGTTTGAAATTTCGAGTTTGAAACTGACTACTCCGATTTAGAATTATTTTATAAGAAAGAGAACAAAGCAATTTGGGAAGAAATTGTGAAATAGTAAATAGCAATTTTTTGATATGATTTGCAGTTATAGTTTTATCAAAGAGTTAGGAATTTGTATAATTCCTGACTCTTTGATGATAAATCATGATTTCAGAACCAAGTAACAACCAACGAAGATAACTTAGAAAGAGTAGGCTGGCTTCTCTTCTTTCTCTGCTATTTAAGATGAACTTAGCTGCATATCAAAATTAGTCTATGCAACCCGTTATACATTTAAATCTACTGTTTTTACATGGGCGATAAACAAGTTCTCGATTTCTCGCAAACTTGACGTGCTCACAAGAACGGTTTCCAAGTTGATTTTGAATCACACCTATTATGTCCGTCTTTTCTTTCATCCACCACCATTTGTTGAATTGATTATAATTAGTATAACCGTTTTACAAAAAAAAATCGCTACAAAATTACAAGCTCGCTGGCTATGATCGAAGGTTTGTTTGCTCTGGACTATACGATAGACAGTTCCAAAGATTAGTTGACACCGTAACCTAGAAATTGCAAAAGAATACAGGAAAATAAATGTATCGATACAAAAAATGTTGCATATGGACAATTCGAATTTTTATCAGTATAGTAGGCCTTCACCAGAGATTTGTGTAGTTTTCTCCCTTCATCGCCCAAGGGTTGGGAAGGAGGGTGCGGACCAGAAAGGGAAAACAAAGTGTAAGGGATAATTATAATTGTGATGAAGTCAGCGCTACACATTTATTAACTGTGGAATCGGTACGCTTTAACGTACACGATTTGTATTCTATAAACTAAAACGTTTTATCGCTTTTATATTGACTCGGATTATGGTAGCTAAGAGGGATTCGTTTGGGTTAACTTGTGGCAAGGTTGTTATAGCCCAATACAAAAAAAACCGTTTATTCGTTTTTTTTTTCGTACTTGGTAAGTTTGGTTTGTTTAACCAAAGGCCTCCGTGAGACGGTTTTAATTAATGATGAAAAGTGGTACGGCAAAAAAAATTGGTTTAGCGACTCTGTTTTTAAGTGGTTATAATAGTATTAAGTATTTGTTACAGAACAATTCCATTATATTTCAAAGCGATAATAATACCTACCAATTTTTGGAAGTAAAATCGCGATAATTTTCTTAAAATATAGAAAATGATTTTCCATTAATTGAACACCAAGCATCTTCGAAAATTTTTTTCTTTTTCTTAACTGCTCAAGATGTTTTTTTATGAAATTCATTCACACTGTTCGCTACTTAAGTCAAAAAGATTCCCCTTTTAAACAGTAATATACCGGGTGTTTCAACAGATCGTACGAAATATATAGAAGGGAAAGTAGAGTCAATATTATATTACAATATAACATTGTTAAAAAATTTTGGATGAGCTTTGCAGGCTTTTCTTAGTATACTGAGATATAAAATTTCGTATGGGTCCTGTCTTTATTATATTTCATTTAGACAATTGAATTATATCCTTGATGTATGAATGGCGGTTCAGTCAGATTTTTTTTTAATATTGTCGTGGCAGTAACTTTTTGACGTAATAGGCATGTCTCAATGTTACAATAGCAGTTTTTCTACTCTCTTCTGTAAAATACCTAATTACGCACCGATCTAGCGCGCGGGAAGGGTCACTTTACCTCGTAAGTTTCTTGTCTCACGGATCGGAGTCACTTCGGACATTTCCGAGATATTACTGCAAGGTTTGGGAGCAATCGGATGTTTTCGGAAATTTTACCGCCCGAACTTGAACTTTGAACTTTGTTTTGGAAAAATGTACCCAAAAGCTAACGGTCGTAGAAACAGTATAGTATGCAACACGTTTGGTAAACTTTTTATGTCACTCGTTTATTAAACACTCGCACCGCTAGTGCCAATAAAACTAGTGACTCGAATGCCATTTACCACACTTGTTGGATAATATACTATTAAGTGACAAGTTTCCAAATAACCAACTTACTGGAGAAGTATCCTCTAAAAGCACTTTCGGGAAGTGTTAACTACAAATTTTTTAACCGGCTCAATGTTGCATTTTTGCAATTCATAGGCGACTTACAGTCACAAAACAAAAAGAGGCCGGTAATAGTTTTTTTTATTTATCACAAGACTCCCATCCGGGAGTATACAAAAAGCATTTTTTTAAACTGTCCCCAGAGTGACATTTTCTGACCTACTACTAGCAATATTAGTTCACTTTTTGTTACTTTCAGAACTGCATAAGTAGCGTTTGAATTGGAGTATAAAGAATTTAAAAAACTTGAAATAATTGTAGACGTGATTTATGAAAATGTTGATCTGTAGAAAAGAGTCAATTTGGCTGCTGTAGCGGTGAATTCTATAGTGAAAACTATCAACTGTCCTAGTTGATCCCGCAGAGATATAAAGTTCAATTCTATTCAGCATAGTACATAATTGAAATTGTCCGAAACGTATTATGTGTAAGATATTTGGTTTTAGAACTGTATGCTTGACCAGCTGAATATAGCCTTTGTGTTTAGCATTATGCTGGTGAAATTATAGGTACTTCTACTAAAACCAAGCATCTTAAAACTTAATTTATATAATTTGAAAAGTGGAGATATGTACCCACTGTACCTTCTAGAACTTTCAAATTTGAAATATCATCTAGAATATGTTGATCAATTTTATAGTCATATTTGATAAGAGCTTTCGATCCAGAAAAGGAAATGACATTGCATTTTGAAAAACAGGCGTCTTGTAACATTTCACAACCATGACGTGATTGAATAAGGTCCTATTTAAGTCGTCAGCAAAAATCAAAAATTATGTTGCGTTTTACACAAACGGTTACTTATAAAATTTAAAAATGGTCTGGTACATTTCAAAATTTTCCCCTTCTAAAAATATTCCCATAGAAATAAGCAAAATAAAAAAGCACGCCCTTATTTCAGGAATTTGTATAGTTCGAACGAGAGCTAGACGGTATAAAAAATGTAAAAATTATTCATCGAAACAAATTCTCAGTGTTTCAATAGGAAAACCCGTACCTTCCACGATAGTCTTCGGGATAAGGTATAATCATTCCCTCGGGACTCGGCCTCGGCGAGTTCCCGATCCAGAAAAAGGCATCGGGACCTGTTCCGTCGTAGGAAAAACCTTTTATGAAAATTGTGCTCTCGTCGACTGCGTACACCGTTCCCTTGATCCTGTGGGCGAACTCGACTAAAGGGCCGATTTTTGTTCCGTAGTAAGGCTCCGGATGTTTCCTGCATGATCCTGGAACAATAAATGCAGTAGATATTTAGTTTCACCTCCTTCGAATTTTCAAACCATTACGCTTTGAAAATATCATTTTTTCGAAAATTTTGTTAAGTTCATAGCAATTTTTGTCTCCTTGTTATACTTTCAAACTGTTTACATATTCAAGTTCATTCACTATAAATATAAATACTTCTTTCATAGATTTCTATATTAAAAAATAAGTTGTCAAAATTTGAACTATAACCATTCATGTTAAAAGGATAATTGAAGAAACAGATATTCAAAATATAATTTTATTAATTGCATAGGCTCCAATGTATGAATTTTTGTTATTAATAAGATGTAAAATATATAAAATTATGATAGATAACAATATTACAATTACTCCACATAATTTATCATAAATTGATAGAACAATGCAAATAACAAGGAATATTCAGGTTAAATGTGGATTGGAGTAACTAAAGGATTAGCAGGAGTATAGTATAGTCTGAATGGAAATCTCTCCTTTTTTCTTCCCATTACTAATGTGTATTTTGTAGTTTGGTTATGCGATAACTTAATGCGAAAAAGTGAAAACTAGTCTAGACAGGATTTTAGAAAATTCACATATTTCTATATATAAATTAAACTTATATTTTTAATGAAACAGCCTTGTTCGTTTTTTATAGTTTTGGTTAGTATACAGTGGCTCCAAAATAAGAATGAGACTGCATGGGGATATCGAAAACCATAGCAGTTGGGAAGAGGAGAAGGATCTGGTCAATTATGAAAGTTTCATCGCAAAATGATTTAACCTGAATCGTTTCTGCGAAATTTAACAAAATATAAAAAGTTATATTTTCTGTAATCACAGACATGATCTTGGGATTAGTACATTATTGGAACACTTAAGATGAATAAATACAGAATTCTTGATATTTGTCCACTCTTTCTAGACGCTATCTTTACCCTCCATTTTTTTGGAGATCTGGAGTCCCACTCCCTATTGAGCCCCATCCCTTTCAGAATAGTAGTAGAGTTTGTTTCCTTTCTCGGTGCTAATGGATCCTTCACCTTTTCATCAGACCTCGCTCATGCCCAGTATGTCCCACTTCATCCTCTTTAGTTCTCTCTCTGCATTCGACAGTTTTCCTGCTTTCACGTTCCATTTGAATTTTCCACCCGGGGATTCTTAGCGCAACCTGCCGACTTAAGGTCTGCCTGGGACTAGGGGGCATATCTTTGCTATCTTTTTCCATATTGGTATGCTTGGGAATGTTAATGTCATGGTTTCAAACTCCCCTTTGGCATTCTATGCCGTTGACCAAGTGTAATCTTAGTATATCCGTCTTCGGTGCTCCCACTCTGGGCAAACGGGTGCCTCTTCTGCAGCATCTAAAATGGTGATCGAACGCTGTGCAGCAGCCCATTCTGAGTCAGACCCTGCTTGGGCATCTTCATAGCTTCATCCACACCACTCTACCGGCGGCCTTGCTCCCTGAATGTAGGTTAATAAGCCCCCTCACCAGCGAAAAGGTGATGATTGCCCTAGAGATGCAGTTAAAAATCACAAGGGGATTTTTTTCAGACCATAGCCAACTATAATTGATATATAAAATAAGAAAGTTGTATTCGTTTTCGAGAACTGAAGAAAAAATTCGCCACTGAATTTGGTTTAAAAAATGGCCTAATACTGTTTTTATTGGAATCCAAAATTTTCATAAATAAAAAAGTTATGGGCAATTTTCAAAAGTGCCGAAAATTAAAAAAACACCCTACATCTTGGTTAGCAGTGAAGCTATCGCCATGCAATTTCAACCATTAAATGTTTCTCAAAAATCGAGTCTTTGACAAGTCGATTTTGCCTGTCAAAACACTCCAGTTACGACCACCTCGTATAGAGTATCTCATAAGTTTCGCACAGCACCAAACTTCTTCAGTTTAAATTCAACATATATAATTTTATTTTTGGATTGGTTGATTCCTTCAGGTTTCCATATACTTAATCCCAATCGTTTTGGTTAGTTATTTTAATAATCTTAAAAGTGTTGAAAGGTTGCCTTAACCGTATTGAAACGCTATGAAGCTTTGTCGCGTCTTAGTCATTATCATTCAAATAGATGTCCAGGCGGGCGTTATAAAATCGTCGGGTATTGAAAATATCGTTGGGATCTGCATGTGTATGAATAATTTCCGACACCCTTGTTGTGTGCCGTGTAGGAATGAATTCGAACGATATCACAGAGGCGAGGGTTGGGGGAAGCGAAGCCATTCTTCGAGATTCCGAACGCATTCCTCAATCCTCACCTAATGCACTTGAGTATTTTGTCGATCACAGATATCTATTGAGATATCAAACGTCGTTTTATCCTGAGCCGTTTGGAATATGGGAGCCAAATGCAGATCGATCGCAACTTTTCGGAATTTACTTCCACAGTGGTATTTAACGTTTAATCGTACTCGTATTTTTTGATTAGTTATAAACGCATAAACGCATCACTAATTTGATAAGTAGAATTTTGTTTAAATTATTTTCTTCTTTACCTAAAAATATTAGGTAAATATTAGAAGTGCAACAAAATCAATTTAAACAAAACTCTACGTGGCATAATCGCCGTTATTCATTTTTGCTCCCAATTTCTAAAATGAAATTTATAGAATTCCCAGTTTGGTTATCACTAGGGCTACCAAGAAAAAATGTCAGAAATTATTTTAGGTTTCTAGAATGGCCGCCAGAGAACGTAATCGCATTCTTCAATACTAGATCCCGTTTGTTGAGAAATAATATTAATACAAATACCTGAAATGGACCCAAAGATGGAATAAATCCTACTGTTTTCGTTAAATGATTTTTGCTGTACCTTCTAAGGGAAGGTGGTATTCCGAGATCAGTATAAATAAATGTTATTTACACAAACAAATTAAATAGAACGATATCAGCTTTATTGCAACAAAAGTCTAGTGAAAACGGCATTTCGATTGCTTTTTCCTGATCTATAATATAATTAAAACAAATAAAAAATTGAAATAAAGTAGAATCCATGAGAATATTTTCAGTATACCTGTCATTACTAGATCATAATTTTTGTTCTTTTAATAAAATATATAGATAAATTTACTATTATATAAATTTTAAATACAAAAATTATATTTAAAATTTCAATAACTACTAACATACGATTGAATGTTGCACACAGGAAATTAGAAGTATTTCCAATCGAAGTGTGCCTTGGAAAAGAAAATAACAAAAATTATAACGGTGGTGTTTAAGTGACATTGCAACTATAGTGTATTTTGGTGCCTTAAATTTTTTAAAAATGCCTTTTCCACCTGTAATCCTGGATATATTTTGTGTTTTCTCTGTGTTATTATTTTTCAATATTATTATTATTAAATACAAAGTCTTATGTCTTATTGTGTACACTCATGTGCATTAACGACGAAAGAAACACATGGAACATTTCATTTAAGTGGTTTAAATTATTATTAAAACCTAATTTTTATAGTTAAGAATTTCCTGTTATTGTCAATTTAAAAAAAGATATATGTTACTTACAAATAGTCACTTGTGAACTTTTCTACAATTGTTATCAAAAATATTCAAGAGACCATTGAAAATTTTAGGAGTAATTTATATTTAAATTTATAAAGAAAAATGTTATTTTTTTAACAAAGTTCAACGCTCTGTATTCCAGAAACCAGTTGCGAAAATAAAAAATAGCATAATGAAAATCATTGGGATATTTTACACAAAGATTCTGTCATCAAAAGGATTGACCCACTTTTTGGACTTAGCCTCTATATTGATAGGTATAAAATGACACCATTCACTATTCACTATTGGCAAGGGATACAAACAAATGTTTAATAAGAAAGTTAAAACATAAAAACATTTTTAACAGGGTGTTTCATATTTTAGTATAAAGATTTTAAGGGCATTTTATGTTTAAAACCTTTTAGTTAATTTTGACAAATTGAATTATTCGTTTCAGAGGCATAGCAGAGGGTGACTTAAATGATATTTTTAGGTAAAATCATGTCACGATAATTTTTTTTAATCAAACAATGAAAAACTAACCTTTTTTCTCTCTTCATTTTTTGTTCGAATCTAGATTCTTCTTAAAAAAATGAAATGTGGTTTTTAGTCGTCTACCCAGATAGCACACAATATCCCCAGTACATCCGGTCAATGTCCCGTTTAAGTCGCATGGCCCGGGACATGTGGAGGATATTCTTATCTATTCTATATCCTTTGAATGCATAGCTTGCGGATTTACTGTACATGATATACCACAGGTATCCTCTGAGGATATCCCCTTGCGCCATAATGGGAACCTTAGAATAGAAACCTAAAGAGTTAAATTTGGAACAACGGAGAAGGAAAATACCTAGTTTTTTTAGATTTGTGGTGTTTTGGGAGACATTTTATTGGAGACGTTTTTGTGCACATCTACATTGACGTCAGTGTTGGCACGTCCTAAAAAAAAACCGTTAAAATCAACTTGTTTTTACTATTTTTGGACATGAACGAGGCAAGAACCGCTATTTTAGTAAAAATACTACAGAAAATACGGATTCATCTAAGTGAAAAAATTACAAAAACGTAAAAATAATGTATTTGTGTATAAGATCCCATTTGACAACAGCTTTGTTTTTGTTGACGTTATAAGATATACGGCGACTTGGCGTCTATTTTCAGTATTTTGTGTGCTGTGCTTACTGCTTTCAGTGGTTTCATTTCAGTTATTTTTTTGTGGTATTATTATTACTGAAGAACTAATAATTCATGTCAGTAAAGCTTTATGGTATTATATAACATAATATTTGATAAATTCTAAGTTGAACGAACAATTGTTGTGTAGTCTACCAACATCTTGCTTTGTTTTTTATTATTTTGCTAGGTCAATGAGATAGCAAGATCAGGCGGCGGCAGCAGTTATGAGTTTGTAAAACAAGCTCTGACTCCGCTGATTTCAAATGAAAATGCAATTAAATTTAATTGGTTGGGCATGGAGAAAAAGGAGAAATTTTCA